ACGCTGCGAGTCTGCGTGCCGATCAGTGTCACATCTGGATTCAAACCAAGGTCCTCCACGGGAGCTGGGAAAGTTTTCAGCCTCTCCGAGCTTTTGTTTATTTCTGTGGGCCCAGAGGGGAGAGCAAGGAGAGCTGGGGGCAGCAGGGACGAGGTTGCGTCTGATGGTGGCATGGGGGGAATCAGTTCCAGAACGAACGATGGAGCTGGCTGTGATTTTCTGGACTTTACCCCAAAGATCTCTGCCCAGATGTTTTAAGTTTGTACCCATTTCCGTGTCTCCAGGAAACCGACATAGCAGCCCCGTTTGTTCCTGTTTTCACAGTCACTCCCCGGGTCACGGTGCAGTGACTCCAGCAGAGAATGCAGCCTGTGCTGTGTCTGTTACAGGCCGAGGTGGGAAGGGAAGGTCGTCCCTGCATCTCGAGGGACCGGTCCATGCCTGGAGGAGGAGAGAGGCCCTCTGAGTCCTCCCGTTGTCCTCAGGGATGGCCAGGGTTGCCGTTGTTCCCCGTGTCTGTGGTCGGGGGGGGGCTTCTCCAGGGGATGCGACATCTGCTGTGTTGATTTTTGGGTGTAGAAGTGTACCAGGCCCAGTCTCACACTGAGAGTCACCCCTGTGGGCGGATTCCCCACATCCCGTCATGGTGCGGGGGGCTCCAGCAGCCTTGTCACAGCACAGCCTGGTGGGTGGAGGGCCTGAGCCTTTGTCATGACCGCCCCTACTTAGCCATGGGACTGTGCGACTGGAGGGGCGCAGGCCACTCTCACAGGCTCACCCCAGGGCTCCAGGATGGGCGCGTGTGTTGTTCAAACGCTCTCATACCCTGGGGTGTGACGGGCAGTGTGAGGCGGATGAGAGGGAACTGCAGAACCCGGGATCCTACCGCCGGGACACAGGCCTGTCTGACCGTGGAGTCCCCATTCTGGGCACCTCACCCAGCCTGCGACTGTGACGCTCATCCCCACCCCCACACCCCTCACCCCCTGTCCTCCCTGACTCCACAGGAGTGCACAGCAGGCCTGGAGTCTCCTTCAGAAGGTGTCGAGAAGCGTGGGGTGGGGGACACCGGGCGCTGTTGGCTATGGGTCCTGGCACTTCCCTGCTGCTTGGGTGGAGGGTCCCTGGGTGAGGTCCGTCTCTGTCAAACAGCTGTCTGAGCGGCTCCTCGGGGAAAGGCAAGCTGCTGGGACGTCATTCTCCAGCTGTAGGCCAGAGGTTGGCTGACTTTGGTGAGAGTCACTGGGAAGCTGGTGACCTGAGCACATTCCTGGGCCCAGGCACTGGGATTGGATCGGTCTGGGGTGGAGCTGCCACAGGCTGGCTCCTGCACGGGGCCACAGGGCTGCAGAGAGCGAGGGAGGAGGAGAATGGGCCCAGTGTCCACTCGGCCCTGTGGGAGGCCCTGGTGCCGTCCAGAGGCCAGATGGGTGTCCACTTTGCCTTCCTGTCTGCTGCTCTGAGCGCAGCTTCTGTGGAGGAGGGAGCCGTGGTTTTCCCGAGTGGTTGAAGGCAGCCTTGTCAGCTCTGGGAGGCAGGACCAGAGGGCAGGGGGGAGTAGGAAACATCAAAGCAGCCCTAGATGCTCAGAACACTCCGAGGAGCACCAGGATCTCTGCCCCTTCTGGAATATTCTAACCAACCAGAGAGGGCAGGTGCCTCTGGGAGGGGAGCTGTAGTGAGGACCCTGATTGGAACCATGGCTCTCTTCCTTGGCAAGTGTCCTGCCTAGGGCACCAGACGGCCTGTCTGGCAGGGCTGGAGAGCCCCTGGGCTGCCTGGAGGCTGGACATCACAGGTAGAGGCAGGCCTTCCAGCAGGCTGTGCACCAGGTGAACGGCTGTTTCTCTTCCGTCATCTCAGGCTCAGCTAAGGCTTAGTTGCCTTCCCAGCTGATGTCTGCACGAGTCCACGTGAGACCCTCCCCTCTGCCTCAAGTTAGCAAGTGGGGAGGGGCTCAGAGGGAAGAGCAGGGAGAGCTAGGGGCGGCAGGGGCAAGGTTGCATCTGATGGTATCAACGTGGGCATCAATTCCTGAATGATGGAGCTGGCTGCAATGATCTGGACTTATCCCAAAGATCTCTGCCCAGATGTGTTAAATTTTTACCCATTTGTGTGTCTCCAGGAAAATCCAGGTTGCCTCATTGGGATGCCCATGCCAGTGACCCGGCACAGGGTGCTCTGAGGTCATTCAGCGGGCTGGGGGCACTTCCAGAGCAGGGAAGACTTGTCCAGGTTTTACTGATGGTTGTTGGCTGACAAAGGGGTGTGACCCAATAGCTCTTGGCACAGAAATAGACCGTGAGCCTTGGGGCCTCCAGGTGCTATCCAATATACAGAGGAGCATTCAGAGCAGCCTCGGCCTCACCCTACCTTGTTGGACATCCCCGTGGCCGTTCATGGTGGTCTTTGGTGTCTGAGGCCAGCTCCTCCGTGTGAGCTGGGAAAGTCAAAGTCATTCCACCTCTCCGAGCTTTGGGGTTTTTTTTTTTTTTTTTTTTTTTTTTTTTTTTTTTTGTGGACTCATGCCTTCTCTTGGTTCTAGAGCTGGGAGTGGAATTGCTGGGTCATATGGTGAGTCTGTGTTTCCCTTTGGAAGAAACTGCCAGACTGTTTTCCAACGTGGCTGCACCATTTCCCGTTCCCACCAGCAGTGTGTGCAGGGCTGGGTTCATGCCTCCTTCCTCACCAGGAGTGGCTGATGTCTGTCTTTTTGCCTAAGGTCATCGGGGTGGGTATGAAGTGGCAGGGTGTTGCAGAGTCAGTGTGCATTTCACTAAAGACCGCTGCAGTTAACATCCTTCATGTGCTGTATTGGCCATACATGTATGCTCCTTGGTGAAATAGCTATTTAAATCTGTTTGCTGATTTTTCGTTTTATTTATTTATTTTTGAGACAGAGTCTCACTCTGTCGCCCAGGCTGGAGTGCAATGGTGCGATCTCAGCTCACTGCAACCTCTGCCTCCTGGGTTCAAACAATTCTTCTGTCTCAGCCTCCCGAGTAGCTGGGATGATAGGCATGCACCAACACACCCGGCTAATTTTTGTGTTTTTAGTAGAGACAGGGTTTTGCCATGTTGGTAAGGCTGGTTTCGAACTCCTGATCTCAAGTGATCCACCAGCCTCAGCCTCCCAAAGTGCTGGGATTACAGGTGCAAGCTGCCATGCCCGGCCTTCTTTTTGCTGATTTTTAAATGGAATTATTTGCCATTATACTGGGTAGTAAGAGTTGTCGGTATGTTCTAGACTCGATCTTCTGTTGGATATATGATTTGCAGATCCTTCCTTCCAGGCTGTGTCTTGTGTTTTCACTTTACTTACGGCATCTTTTTGAAGCACAGTGGTTTTGTTGTTGTTGTTGTTTAATTTCGATGATGTTCAGCGTATCCGTTTCTTCTTTTGTTGCCTGTGTTTTTGGTTGTATCTAAGAAATCTTTGCCTAACTCAGGGTCATGAATACACACCTAGATTTTCTTCCAGACTTTTACAGTTGTCGATGTTGCATTAAGGCCTATGATCCATTGTAAGTTAATTTTTGTAAGTAGGGTGAGATAATGATGTGAAGTCCCATTTTTTTGCATGTGGCTGTCCAATGTGCCAGCATCATTTGTTGAAAAATAAAAAATTATTTCTCCCCCCACCCCCATTAAACCGCTGTGGCACCTTTGTTGAAAATCTGTCATTTGAATTTAAGGGCCCAGCTCTCCCTCTCCCTTTGTCTCTCTTGATCATCATGGTGGTTGGAAGTCTGGTTAAATGTAATTTTAACCAGTATTCTAAATGTGTGATCTGATTTACCAAGATGTGCAAGGTCATCCCACTCGAAGACTGAAGTCAAAGCTAGCTGCAGTGTGACCACCTGAGGTTAGTCAAAGGCGCTAGGGCTCGCCCAAGCAGCAGAGGGCCTGTCTCTGCCACTTGCCAGCTGTGTGATCTGGGTTAAGCATCTTCATCTCTGCCTGCCTCAGTTTCCCCATCTGTGAACCAGGGGTGATAGGAGCTTCTTATCTCAAAGGATTACTGTAGAAGAGATAAACGAATCTGCCAAGTGCTCAGAGGGGAGCCTGCCCGGTTCATGTTAGCTGTAATATAGACGCAGTATGTTCTGACTTCTGCAACTACATTTGACTCCAATTGCTTAGCCCGGTTCCGCATAGACTAAGATGAAAGAAGGGAAGGGGCAGTGGAGGGGACTCCATATGGACTGTGGCTGTTCCTTAGCTGTTCCTACAGCTCACAGATCTGGCTGTTTCTGGCATCCGCCACCCGTGGCAACAGACACAATCCCGTACTCTTTTGGTGTAAATGCCCCTCCTTTCCTAGGAAGGCCTGACAAAGCGTGGGTCCTTTCCTGATGCCAAAGAGACCTGGAAGAGTCCTCCTCTGATCATTATAAAAGGGAAACAGCTGGGAATCAAGAACAGCACTAACACCAGCTTCTCCTCCTCTCTGGTTTCTGCTGGATTCAAGTACCAGACATGCATACACACATAAACGCCAGCATGCCCATGGACACAAACACGTGCACACACATGCATACACACATAAACGCCAGCATGCCCATGGACACAAACACGTGCACACACATGCATACACATACACTCCTGCATGCACACACACACCCCTGCACACACATGCATGCACACACACCTGCACATCCCTGCACAAACATGCACACACATCCTGCACACACCCACACACACCCCTGAACATATCCACACACATACCTGCACACATATGCATGAACACACACCCACACATCCCTGCACACACACTCACATATCCCTGCACACACATGCACACACACCCCTGTACACACCCCTGCACATACATGCATGCACACACATCCCTGCACACACACACACCCCTGCACACAGTCACACATCCCTGCACACACACTCACACATTCCTGCACACACATGCACACACACCCCTGTACATACCCCTACGCATACATGCATGCACACACACCCCTGCACACACTCACACATCCCTGCACACACTCACACATCCCTGCACCCACATCCCTGCACCCACATCCCTGCACACACATCCCTGCACACACACATGCTTGCAAGCTCCTCCCTCCTCCGTCCCTTCCTCCTTTCCTTTATAAGCAGTTCTCCCTCCAGAGACCCAGACTTCCTCTTTTGCTTCCACCTGCTCTTGTCAATATTTGTTTTCAAGAGCTGCTCTTTGCGCCACTCCAGCCTGACCTGAATCCTAACACTCGCCTCCTAGGGTGGGGTTCTGAGTCTTAGCACCACTGACATCTCTGGCTGGGTATTCGCTGTCCCGGGCGGCCCTCCTGTGCAGTGTGGGGGTATTTAGCAGCCTCCCTCACCTCCACCCAGCTGCAGGCCAGGAGCACCTCCTCCCTGCATTTGTGACCATGGGAAATGTCTCCAGACATTGCCAGTGTCCCCTGGGAAGCAAAACCACACCCTGTTCAAAACAGCTCCCCTCCAGCTCTTGTCAAAAGTGTGTAGGACAGAAATTGGGAGGCTCAGAACAGGCCCTGATGGGTGTTGGCAGGAGGGCTGGGAGGGTGCGTTTTGGAGTCTGTCCCCGCAGTGAGCATCCCATGTGCTTGTCGTCAGGGCCTTGCTCCCTCTCGTGGGAGCACTCCAGAGAGCTGCACCTGTGCTCCTGTCCTCGTGGGCTTGCTGTGGAACAGTCGTGGCCTCTGTGGCCCCTCAGGCCCGGGGGCGCCCCTTGAACCCTCCACTCTTGGCTCCAAGCACTGTCCCTGGGAAGCTGTGTCTGCCAGGTTCGCAGACAGGAACAGAATCATGGACGGAGCCATGTGGCTCAGCCTTTGTCCTGATAACAGACCCCTGCTTTGGAGGCAAAAGCACAGATTGCTGCCAGCCCGGGGAAAAGGTGATCTCACCCTGCAGAGGAGAGCGGATGCAAAACTGTGGAAAAGCCACCAGCTCCAGCGCCTGGCTGAGGAGTTGAGGGCAGAGTGGCGAGAGTCGCGGTACCTGCAAGTCAGGGACCTGGACAGGCTGCAGTCAGCACGTCTGTTAGGCTGGGGAGGAGGACGGGCCACAGAAAATAAGCCTGGCTCGGAGGGGCCCATCCAGCGAAGATCACCCAGGCCCCCGAGGGGCAAAGAGAAGCAGAAAACAGCCCTTAGCGACAAGAGGAGCTGCAGGGAAGAGCTGGGCCGGCAACAACCCAGGCACACCAGGCCCCGGAAGATGCCAGCGAGCCCAGAGAAGCCGCAGACTACAAAAGCCACAGGTCAGATGCATTCTCACGTGACCCTGCCTGAGAAGAGAAAGGGAAGGAGAGAACCTTCGACCAAGTCTGGGGATGGCCGCTGTGCCACCCACCCTTGGGGCAACAGAGAGGTGGATTCAGAAAGGCAAAACCCACTTGTGGTGGGCGCAGGAGAGATCAGGCGCGTGGAGGAAAAAGAGAAAGGAACGGCCCAGGCAGGGAGGAGGCGGCCGGGGAAAGGGGCAGTTTGCTTCGTTCCAAGCCTGACCAGCCGCTCTCGGGGGCAGAGTCTGGAGGGGAGGTCGGCTGCTTCCAGCCCCAGGAGGGAAGCCGTGTCCCCAGCAGCTCAGTGCACGCTCCAGAACAAGTGGCAGAAAGAGCTGGAGTTCGCCTTTGAAGAGTTGTTTCGTATAAACAGAAAGCTGAAAAAACACCTGTGCTTGTACCTGGCCCTGAAGCCCAGGATGGACCAGAGCCCTGGGGGACAGCATGGCGTCTCAGAGATGCAGGAATGTGGCGGGAGGATCCCGAGAGAGAAGAAAATGGCAGACACAGAGATGATGCCCGCCGGGGAACGCAGGAGCCTGGCAGGGGAGGAGGAGCAGCAGGCGGTGTCCAGGACCCACTTGAAAACATTAACGGGCAAGGTCCGGAACCAAAAATGTCACCCCATGGTCAAGCCCACATTTAGAAATGGAAGTCAGACGTTGTCTCCCAAGGCAGAACTATGTGTCAACAAAGTGGACTCATTATTGTACAGCACTGAATTTGGGCAGGAGACGCCCAAACTGGGCACGCTGGCAGAGGGCCCCTTTCAGCTCCACCTTCAAGACCAGGCACACAGAGTAGGCTTGACAGCATCCAGGCAAAGGCAGAAAGCAGAGACGGAGCAGGGAAGGCAAAAACAGCTGGAATCGCTTGAACGCACGGAACACCCAGACAGGAGCTTGGAAATCCACAAGGCTGAGTTAGAAAAAGAGAGGAGGCAGCAAAGAGGAGCTGGACGGGCCCATCTGAGGTCCCCCTCTACGACAGCCCAGGAAAGGGAGAGCCAGTCCAAGCTCAGCACCACTTCCCTGTCGGGCACCAGCCTCACCGACGACCAGCACAGTCAGATGATCCGAGACCGGCAGCAGCAGATTTTAGAGCAAAGCAAGTTGCACAAGCAGTTTCTTGCAGAAGCCAGGAAGCGCTTGCAGGAGTTTCAGAACATATGTTAAACGCGAGAGTCCCACCCGGGGAAAATACATCACTGCTAATGGAGATGCCAGAACTGGTACCCGAGTCTCTAAGATCTGTGTTTGCGTCATCGCCTTCGAGACTATTAAGCCTCTATAAAATGGGCAATCTGGGGCTGGGCGCGGTGGCTCACACCTGTAATCCCAGCACTTTGGGAGGCCGAGGAGGGCGGAACCCTGAGGTCAGGAGTTCGGGACCAACCTGGCCAATATGGCGAAACCCCGTGTCTATAAAAATATAAAAATTAACCAGGCGTGGTGGCATGTGCCTATAATCCCAGCTACTCAGGAGGCTGAGGCAGGAGAATCGCTTGTACTCGGGAGGCAGAGGTTGCAGTGAGTTGAGACTACACCACTGCACTCGAGCCTGGGCAACAGAGTGAGACTTAAACAAAAAAAAAAAAAAAAAAAAAAAAAAAGGCATTCTGTCATTATACCATCCTCCAGGGCAAATTCCCTCACAGGGACTCCTTCCTTACTTAGTCTTACCTTTAAAATGAAGTCCCATTTGAGAAGCCTCCTATGCACAAAAATAGGAACCCGTGTGGGTTCCAGTGGGGGGGTCTAGCCCACATACCGGCAGTGTGTCTCCCAGAGCTGATCATGCCACTGCACTCCAGCCTGGGTGACAGATGGAAACTCCAGGTCAATTATGCCCTTCAGATGTTTTAGCCAAATAAACACGGGTCTTTCAGGGGCACCCAAAGTCAGACAGGCACAGTTTCAGAAGATAGATCACTTGCTTGGTGCTTAGCTATGGGCTGAGATATTAACAGAGATTGAACCAAAGCTAAAACCTCTCAGTCTTTCAGAGCGACAAAACCAACATTGTTTAAGTAGCATGTTGCTCAATACATTCTTCTAACTCTAATTTGAGAGAAAAGAGAGAAAGAGGCCGGGCGCGGTGGCTCAAGCCTGTAATCCCAGCACTTTGGGAGGCAGAGGTGGGTGGATCACGAGGTCAAGAGATCGAGACCATCCTGGTCAACATGGTGAAACCCCGTCTCTACTAAAAAAATACAAAAAATTAGCTGGGCATGGTGGCACGTGCCTGTAATCCCAGCTACTAAGGAGGCTGAGGCAGGAGAATTGCCTGAACCCAGGAGGCGGAGGTTGCGGTGAGCCGAGATCACGCCATTGCACTCCAGCCTGCGTAACATGAGTGAAACTCCATCTCAAAAAAAAAGAAAAAGAAAAGAAAAGAGAGAAAGACAGAAAAGAGAAGACAGGCCACGCTCACCCCGCTGGTGGCTCCTCTGGGGCTGGCAAGGGTATGGGCACCTGGATGTTTGATCCGTTTCCTCCCTGCTAGCTTTGCCACTGACATGGCGTCCACCACAGCCACGGACACCTCACACTGGGTAGCGTGTCTTCTGCCAATTGCAGACTTAGGGACAGGGATCAACGTACTTTTTCTGCAAAGAGCCAGAGAGTAACTACGTTAGCGTTTGTCAGCTGCGCGCAGCCCTTGGCGCTGTTACCCAGCTCTATGGCAGCTGCTCAGAAGCAGCCACAGATGATGCATGAATGAAAGGGCGTGGCTGGGCTCCAGTGAGACTCCGCAAAAGTCGGTGGTGGACGCCATCTGCCCCTGGACTGGGACGGTTACAGAGTCTGTCTCCCTCCCTCCCTTCCAGAAACCTCAGATACATTGACTTAGATCAACCAATCTTTGTTTGTGACATATTGGTCTCATTGGTCCACAAATGGCCTTACTTGTCTTATGCATATTTTATAGATAATATAATGAACTACTGTGAGCCCCCCACCGAGACCCAAGACCCAGAATATTCACCACCTGTGCCCCACTTCCCTTTTCTGTCCCCCGCTGCCTCTGTGAATATATACCTGCTGATGACTCCCACCTGTCACCCCAACATTTTGGGAAGCCAACGCAGGAGGATCGCTTGAGCCCAGGAATTTGAGACCAGCATGGGCAACACTGGCAGACCCTAGCTCTACAAAAGATTAAAAAATTAGCTGAGCATGGTGGCACGTACCTATAGTCCCAGCTACTAGTGAGGCTGAGTCAAGAGGGTGGCTTGAGCCCCCGAGGTTAAAGCTGCAGGGAGCTGTGATCACGCCACTGCCAGTCTGGGTGACAGAGCGAGACCCTGTCTCAGAAACAAAAAGATGCCGGGCAAGGTGGCTCACACCTGTAATCCCAGCACTTTGGGAGGCCAAGGCGGGGGGATCACCTGAGGTCAGGAGTTTGAGAACAGCCTGGCCAACATGGTGAAACCCTGTCTGTACTAAAAATATAAAAAATTAGCTGGGTTTGGTGGTAGGTGCCTGTAATCCCAGCTACTCGGGAGGCTGAGGCAGGAGAACCCAGGAGGCGGAGGTTACAGTTGCCTGAGGTCGCACCATTGCACTCCAGCCTGGGCAACAGAGCAAGACTCTATCTCA